ACCTCGGGTGCAGTGGATGTCATCATGGGACCGCTCCTCAACTACAGACGTACAAGCAACCAGCAGGCCGGGCAGCCTGTCTGGCACGGCAGTGTCCTCATCGTCGCCACGCCCGGACAACAGAACCCGAACGAGGCACAGCCAAACCCCCAGCTCACACTCTTCCCGGCTGGCGCAGTCGACAAAAATATGGGTGACGTGAGGTTCAGCGTGGAAGCGCGCGACTTTCACGGAGAGAAGCTATACGAGGATAGCAAGAGAGCCTTCTGGCGCTTCAGGATCGATGCTCCCATGCAGCCATTCGAATCAAGATGGCGTTACGAGATCCAGAACCTCAGATACACCGACACCATGAAGGAGGAGAAGCCCCAGAACTTCGTCATACCCTCAATCACCCAGTCGATGCGCATCATGTTCCATTCTTGCAACGGTTTCAGTGTCGGTACCGACATGGACGTATGGTCCGGACCTGTGCTGTGGAACGATGTTCTCCGAATGCACGAGCAGCGACCCTTCCACGTCATGCTTGGAGGAGGCGACCAGATCTACAACGACGGAGTGCGAGTCGACGGACCGCTCAAGCCCTGGACCGACATACACAGCCCTCATAAGCGACGGGAATTCCCCTTCGGCCAGCAGATGCGTGCCGACTGCGACGAGTACTACTACAACAACTACGTCAAGTGGTATGGTCACAAGCCCTTCTCCACTGCCAACAGCCAGATCCCCCAGGTCAACATCTGGGACGACCACGACATCATCGATGGTTTCGGCTCCTACACCGACCACTTCATGAACTGCGCTGTCTTCAGAGGCATTGGCGGTGTTGCGCACAAGTACTACCTCCTCTTCCAGCACCACCTTGCTCCTCCAAAGAGTACCTATACAACCGACGCGCCCCAGACAACCAATGTAACAGGCCAGGGAGAAGGCACAACTCCCGCCGATCCGGTGCAAGTGGACAGCACCTTCGTTATGACCAACGATGAGGGCGACCCATCGTACCTTATCGGCTCGAAGCCCGGCCCATATGTCGAGGAACGCAGTCGCAGCATTTACTGCCAGCTCGGTGCGCGCATTGCCTTTGCTGGTATTGATGCGCGAACAGAGCGTACGAGGCATCAAGTCAACTACCCCGAGACCTACAAGATGCTTTTCGATCGTCTGGACGCCGAATTCACCGCGAACCCAGAGCTCAAGCACATGATCTTGCTGCTCGGTGTACCCATTGCCTACCCTCGCTTGATCTGGCTCGAGAACATTCTGCAGTCGCCGTTGATTGCACCCATCAAGTTCCTGAACAAGCGCTTTGGCTTCGCTGGAGGCTTCTTCAACCAGTTCGATGGCAAGGTCGATTTGCTCGATGACTTGGACGACCACTACACCGCGCGTCAGCACAAGGAGGAGCGTCGCAACCTCATGCACAGTCTGCAGGCATTCTCCAAGAAGTTCTCTGCTCGTGTCACCATTCTTGGTGGAGATGTGCATCTTGGAGCCATTGGTCGTTTCTACACCAACCCCAAGACACACCAGATTCCCGCAGAAGCTGATCACCGCTACATGCCCAACATCATTAGTTCCGCCATCACCAACAAGCCGCCGCCACAAGCTGTCGCGAACTTGCTTGCCCGCCGAAACAAGATCCATCACCTTGACAAGGAGACCGATGAGACGCTCCTCGAAATTTTCGACCGCGACCCAGCTCTCCCCGGAGGCGTCAACGCGACAAACGGCAGCTCCACCGCCCAGATCGAGGGCGACGGCAAAGACGGAAAGATCGAACCCAAGACCTCCGCCGCGAACCACGCAACGATGCCCTCGCGCAACTACGCCATCATCTGCGAATCCGCGATCCCCACCCCCTCAACCCTCGGCGTACCTCCCGGCTCAGCGCCCTCCATCAACACGAACAACACCGCCGCGTCCAAGATCTCCGCTGCCCCTGGCAAGAAAGACAACATGCGTCTGGGTTTCCATCTCGGAGAAGAGAAGGCAGGAACTCAGCACCCGGCTGCTGGCGGTATTAACCCTTCAGGTCTTTGCGGACCGTATGGCTTGGATGTTACACTTAGGGTGGAGATCAGCAACCAAGATCGCGAGGGCAGGACTGATGGCTACGGCTTCAGTATTCCCGCGCTGGATTGCTCGGCTTATGCTGATCGTGGCGAGAAGTGGTAGACTACACCTATGAAGTGGGCGCTTGGGACATGGGATAAAGAAGGTGTCAAGCGGTAGATGAAGGGAGGTTATCGCGGTGGAAGATACTGGATGATTTCATTTTGCTTTCTTGTTTTGGTTTATACCCTCGAAAGTTGCTTGGCATAGAGCAATGATGTGTAGTAGTTAATTAGTTGTTAGTCTGTAATGTTATCCCATTATTGGGTTGGTACCACAAAAGTCCTCTTGTCTATGGAGACGTCCTATGATGACGAGTGCATCGGTTTCTGCACTTACAGCCCCACTCGAGCATGTTGGAGTTTCGCGAATCGAATGGTATCTATTGCGCTCGCAAAAAATGTTTGGTTCGTAAACACTGGTGTTTATGTACATGATATATGAATGATTGGACTTTTGAAGAATGTCAGAAACAAACGAAATGAAAGCAGTGGCATACAGTCGTAATGGGAGAAAGCAAAGCAAGGAAAGTTGTCGTCACCAGGAAAACGAGTGTTGAAGACCACGTGGCTCCTCCGTGGAGGGCTTGCGGAGCGAAGCAAAAAGCGCCAAAAGTTGAGCAGCTTCCATCCCACCTGTCTCTTGCCAGAATGTGGACGATGAAGCTTGCTGCATAGCAAGCTCGTAGCAAGTATCGAGGAGAGCATTCGTGTTCTCCGGCGAATCCTTGATTCTCACCTTCATCGCAACGGCCATGGCAAGGAAGACATGGAAGCGCGCCATCGACATGGATGCGGAGATTTCGACTGCGGGTCGCTGAGTGTTTGGGTAGACAGACTCGCAGAACCGAGAAAAGAGACCAGGAGAGATGGAGTAAGCTTGGTAGTCCAAGGACTCGATGTGTTGTACGAATTCAGTGGTCAGAGTCTCCGCTTCGAAGCGACTAGGTATTGGCGTAGTAACAATTGCGCGACTGCGATCCGTGAAGCTTGATCGTGACGAAGCTGGGCCAGGACTTTCAGTATGGCGGGCTGCGAATATGCCTTGGCGAGGCAATCGCGGTGCTGGCGCCAACGGAAGGATGTCATCTTCAACCTCCGGGATCGGCGACATGGCTTGCTCATTGCTAGCCTGAGACTGGGACGAGGTCGAAGTCTTGCGAGAGTGGGCCCGACTGCTGGTAGTACCCGGTTGTAACTGACTGCTACTTGCTTGAGCCATGAACTCCCAAGAAGGCGCCGTATGCGGTTCGATCGACGACGGCATGGGTTTACTCATCGATGGGTATGTTGCACCGAACTGCGGGAGCGCGGACCCGGGTGGCATGGAATCGGGCGACGAGGCACGCGTGGTACCTAACCATAATGAAGGTACTGGTGAAGACGGCGTGGAGAAGTTGGGGAAAGGCTCACATTCATCTATAGCGATAGAGGGCATGCTGCCACTCCTAGCCGAGAAGGAGCCGAGATCCAGGTCATCGGCTGTGAAGGTTGCCGGTATGGTGGTATCGAGGTTGAGGTGGGGCGAGGGTCCTTGCCAGTCGAACGATGTGGGTGTGCTAGCCATAAGGTTCTGGTCGATAGATTCCATGCCGTGCATGGGCGCATTGACATGTCTGGCTAGCTGTGCCTCGAGCTGATGTATTCGTCCCTCTAGCGCTTCGCGATGTTCACTTCATCTTGATCAGAACACGACATCATGTGACCACGCGATGACGCGTCTGAACGGGTGTGGGCACTCACGATGCAACAACTTCTTTTGGTTTTTGTGTTCTCACGCATTGTATTGCAAAACGTTTACACGTCGAGCAAGGCGTCTCGCCGTCGCATCGAATCTTCCTGCGTCGGCATCGCTCGCAGGCGTTGGAGACGGACTTTCGCCTCGGCTGCCAGTCTTTGACAGCGCTTGGAGAGAAGCGAGCTGGACCTTCGCCAGCGGGCAATGAAGCTTTTGTCATTAGCGATATCACGGAGCGATATAGGTGCCAAGCTTACTGAAGGGGCACATGCTGGAGGGGAATGTTGAGGATTCCGCGTCGGATACTGAGGCTTCCGAAGATTTGGGTGCAGATGGGGACAATAAGCAGCTGACGATCGCAAGACGGAGGCGTGGGAAAGAAAGCCATGGCGGAGGACGAGATCTCAGTTTGTTTTACGTCCCGTTGCCTGTCGCGGTGACAGACTGAACGCGGTTGAGTAATCGGGTAGACCTGCCCTGATGTTCTGCCGACACACTTTCCTGACACTCTGGCCCTCACCATGACTTGCAACACGCCCGCAAGGCTCCCTGCACGTCTCGACTCCTCATAGGTGCGGACGTGCGACGAGACATGGTTATGCATGTCGCATCGACTTTCCCTCCGCTCTCGACCTTCTAGAAGAGCGTCTACCAGGTGACAGGGCTAAAGGACGGGCACGCGGCCGCACTCCGCGTTTGCAGCATAAGTGTCGCACAGCCCCCCAGAAGTTCCCACCGGTAAATCCTTCGGACACGTAAAAGAGCGGAATCCGCGGTCCATTTTCCGCTATCTTGTCACATCGCATTGTGAAGCACGGAGAATTATAGAATCTTGTCGACGGCGTCTCCCCAGAGCCATGATGGACCCTCTTGACCACAAAGTCCGGCTGTCAAAATCATCCGCGGCTGCCCAAGCAGCAGGCAACTGCCGAGAACTCGAAACAACGTTTTTCTTTCGTCGCATCAAGTCCTTGGCACACGGGAAGCTCACCATCAGATGAGTCGAGGAGCGTCGTCGTAGGCGCCATGCGGCACAGGTGACGCGTACACAGTCAGCGCCTGGAACGTCGCATCAAGGACACTCCCATTGATGCTATCGCATTCGCATTGCACTATCTACAGGATCGACGAACAGAGCTACAGCCCGACTATACGCGACACAATGGACCGTCCGTCGATTGGACACCGGCGCCGATGATACCATTATCATCGATGGCCCAGCCCTCAGTACCAACCCCGTGGTGCACGTAGAAGAGCATGTCAGGGTCATACTTCTTTTTGATCTGCTGGAGCCTCGGGTAATTTGAGCCCCAGAAAGATTGCTGCCAGTTGGGCTCGGCGATGTCGGCCTCATTTCCATACGCGCCGCCAGTGGGCGACACTTCACGAAGAGGAGCCATGACCTGAGTGGTGATCTTTTCGACGGCCGCCTGCCATCCCGCGGCGGTTTCCTCAGCGACCGAATTGATGATGACCATCTGGCTCTCTTCGTTTCGGAACGCTGGATTGACGGAGTTGATGTCCTTGTTGTCCTGTTCGACGGGGCGCTGATGGTACATGTTGATCATGACGGCGGTCTCGACGACGTGCTGGATGGCGACCATCGTTTGGTTGCGTATCTCAGCGTTCTCCCAATTGTCGGATGTCAACAAACGGTTCGACGCAATACCGGTAGCGGCACCAATGTGATAGTTGAATGTACCGAATGTGGCCTTGTAGGCAGGGTAGAAGCTGTCGTGGTAGGTTGTCTTGGGATTGAGCTCAATACCAAGTGAGGCGCACTTTTCGTAAAAGGGCTTGATAAGAGCCTCGTACTCCTCGACAGTCTTGTCCGTGGCAAAGAAAGGACCCATCGACCACATGTACGTGCCTGGTGCGAGCTTCATGAGCGAGAAGTAAGAGTATGTTTTCGCGCGGTTGTAGGCGGGCATGTTGTCGAAGAAGAACCTAAACGCCTCCCAGAACTTTTCGGCAGTAACAGTTTCGGATGTCATGATGGTCCAGGAGGACTGAGTGACTGGAACCTTGCGATGGACCTTCACTACAGCAGAGGTGATCACGCCGTAGGTACCGCCACCGCCGCCAAGCATAGCCCAATACAGATCTCCGTTGATCTCTGGAGTAACGGTAACGAACCGGCCGCTGGCAAGGACAACTTCGAGAGCGATGATCTGATCTGAGCCGACACCAAACAACTGCATCAGGGGACTGTGGCCACCGCCCGTGGAGTAGCCACCAGTTACACCGACGGTCGGACAGATACCGGCGATGGCGGAGACACCATACTTATCGGCAGCCTCATAGAGCTCGAAGCCTTGAACGCCCGCGCCGACTTTGAAGACTGGTCCGTTGTACGTGGAGCTTTTGTAGTCTTTGACATACTTGATCTCCTTGAGGCCATGAGTCCAGATGCTGAGCGCCCCCTTGCCAACCGAGCGACCGTTATAATCATGTCCAGTGTTGCGCACAACCAAGCGAAGGTTCAGGGTACGAGCAAAGTTGACAGCCAGCTGAACCTGCGCAACGCTGCTAACTTTCACTGCGTATTCCGAGTATCCTCCCTGGGTGCAAGTGCCATTGGCGAAATTGCCTGTAGTAGGAATGGGGCATGTCATTCCATACCACAGGGGATTCATCAGCGCACCATTGTCGTTGTAGCTACTCCTGTCAGTCTAAGTGCCATTGTGCTCACAAGTATTATCACTTACTAAATCTCCTCCGAATCGAAATTCTCGACGAGGTCTGCGCACTTTGCGGCGTCGTAGTTGTTGTACTCGGACGTCTTGTAGCAAGAAGAGCCAATAGGTACGATCTTCTCTAAAGCACCACCGAGTAGGAGGTCGAACACCCCCCACAAAAGCTTTCCTGGATACAGAAGATCGCCAGGCATCGTCTTGCATCGGAGTGATCGTCGCGCACGGCGAGTACGCGTAGATAAGCTTGAATTGGAGCTGTCCTCAAACTCGAAGAGGGAAGCATACTCAGCAAGCTCTGCGCTCTGTTGCATCGAGGAGATAACATCGTCAGTCAGCTGTACGGCTTCCACTCCAAAAAGAGCGAGGTTGGCAGGCGTGACATAGGTAGCGAGAGTCTCAGCAGCAGGTGGGACGGAAAATGCGAGTGTGGTGCTCTGTGCCGCCGTGAAACCGGCATAGGCCAAAGAGAACGTTATGGACCTCGCCAACATGTTGGAAGAGGAACCTTGCAGTTGAAACGGGGGTAGTAGCGGCTGGATGAAGAGTCCTTGGCTGCCACGTTCCTGTACCGAACGCAAGGTTTTATACGAATTTCCTCATAACGCACAGGTGGCGGCGCATCAGTAATCTTGGTCGAGCCTATTTGCCGCTCACTCGGGGACTGTCTTCCCACTTGAGCATCGGCATGAAAAAGTGGGGTGAGATACGGCGAGGCCATCTCGTCTAGAGTCTAAAGTTGGTATGGGATTTCATCCTGTGCACCCGCCCAGAGAAATCGAAGACGCGAAGGATGGTAATTCCAATCTCGCGCCCACGCCTCATCCGTACAGCTCATGCGCTTTTTATTAGGGAGCGAAGAGGGTCTAGACTTCCACGACCATGAACATGTCACGTTGGCTGAGTCGCGGGTAGTTGTTCCGCGGCGATTACACCATTGAGCGATGGACATTCGAACAGGCTTCACCAGCCGGTACATCGAGGTTCGGACCGCTAAGGAGGCTTCCCGCGCATCCGCCTCTGCTTTGGAGCGGATGCACCGTGCTTAGGTTCCTGGAGAAGATTCCGGATCAGGCAGCTAGTGGGGCACCTGCCGAGCATCGTACTAGACAGGGCTCTGCATGTGTAGAGCGGATCCTATATCTCTGCCTCAACACCTTGAACGGGACCCTAATCAAGTTGTGTGGCTTCTACTAGGCCCTGAGTCTCTATGAACTGTGAAGATGTTTACATACTGCGCTACACATTTGTCTCCAAGGATGAATGGTTAGATAAATGTTGTGGAGGCGTTGCCGATAGAGATCTTTGCAGGCTGTCCTAGGGATTATTGGAGGATTTTGCCATCCCGTGAGGAGGATCGATTGGAGCCACAATATGCAAGGGTCTTCAAAGCCGAGTCTCGAGGTACTCACATTCTCGGAGGCTGTGTCCCAGTCGCATAGCTCTGCGGCTGCGCAAAGTATGTTCCAACAGGACTAGCCGTCTTGCATGTGCTTCCACGTTGGTTCCGTCGCCTTGGGTGTCCTTTTCGGACGAACGACGGTTTTGTCACTTTACACTTGCTATATGATTGGTTCGCAAGGGACGGGACGTGGCGCGCAACACAGGAGATGAAATCTTCGCTTCCATGTGCGAGACTCGTTTACTCAGATATTTTTCAGGTTTGCAGCGTTACCAGTATCTTGGGAAAGGAACGCAACATCCTCGGCACGCTGTTGAGCGGGCTGAATCCTATTCGAACATGGTCTCGATGTTGAACGCTGCCAGGTCCGCGGGTCATATAAAGACTTCACGAGTATCACTTTTCGTGTGACTTCGACCGAGTTGTCTTCGAATTGAACGCCAATCTGAACTCCCATCATGGCAGTACCCGCTTTTCCTGCACCAGACATGTCTGGTGTTGATCCAGGACTTCAACCTACGCTCATCGCATTATTATACCTCTTCCCAGGACTTGCTCTTGCGGTGCTTATGGTTCGATTTTGGAGGAAGTGGCAAGACCATATCCTTGGCGGAGGTATGAGCACGTGGCTACAGTAGCTGGTCTATGCTGATATCTTTGCAGACGACGTTCTGATCGCCATCGCGTGGGCTCTAGCATTGTCCAATAGCGTGATTACCCACAAATGTAAGACTCTTGTCCACCTGGGCACATGACGACCTTGGAATGTTCGAATGCCTGACGCTTATGGAGTTTGTGTCGCGATGTACACCGGATACCACGATGAAGATGTTCCGTATCCAGCAATAGACTTCCTTAATGCATTCAAGGTACGTTCGTAAAACATGTGTGCTGCAACTTACCCATATACTGAGGGACTTATCCACAGCTTAAGTATGCGTTGAGTCTCGTGTACTCACCATGTATCGGCTTCGTTAAAGCATCCTTCTTGTGGACGCTTTACAAACTTCGTTCAAACAATGTTTGGATCAAGCGGTGTATCCTCGGCCTCCAAGCGATCAACACCATTTTCATCGTTGCTTTCACGATACTTGCTGCAATACCCTGCTGGCCGATAGCGAAGAACTGGCAACCCGACCTGATTGGGGGTTGCTACGATCCCTTAGATTACATCCTGGCCAACATCTCGATCGTACTTATCACCGATGTTCTAGTTCTTCTGTAAGACTTTCTCGCATGCACCAAACAACCGATGCTGACATTGCACTAGGATTCCGACATGGATAATCTGGGACTTGCAAATGCCACTCAAGCGCAAGATTGTTACAGTATCGTTTCTCTCTCTCGGTCTCGTCGTAATAGCAATCGGCGCCGTGCGATTCGTTTGGCTCATCGACGCTTTCAAAGGCAAAACGAAAAGCTACAGTGTCAAAGCGTCCTACTCTGCAATCGAGTCTAGTGTCGCTATCATTGGAACCTCGGGGCCAACTATCAAATACATACTGTCACGCTTCATACCCTGGCTCCGTCCTTCATTTGAGCGCTCAAACGCGAACAAGAACTCATACGACGCCTATGGGAACCACTCAAATGTTGCTGCTAGGCGAGCGAGGTCACACTACGGGACGAAAAGTGGATATGATGATTTGGATATGGTGAGCGTTCACCATGAACAGTTCGAGATGAAGAGCGGTTGGCAAAAGAAGAAGGGGCAGGATGACGACGCAAGAAGCGATGAGCAGCGCATCACAGGCGAAGGTCACGGCATCAACAAGACAGTGGAATGGATGGTAGACACGAAAGAGCGCTCGCATATTAGCAAAACAGTCTCGGATTATCCAAATGTCGCTAACGACAAGCCTGCGACAAGTCCCGCACAGATCATTTAGGCTGGAGGTGTGTTTGGGCAGCAAGGATATTTCATACATGGCGAGTTGTGCTATGAGTATAGCTTTGATCCAACGATTTTCCGAAGTGAACGTTTGTTGAAGAAACGAATTTGCGATGTGACATGAGTCCGCTGTTGGGCGGCGTTCGGCCGCAGCTGACCCGCGCTCGCTGCCGGTCTTGTTTCCGGATCTTGGGGCGCGGTATACCCGATTCGGCGACTTCCCCTCAATCTCAATTGCCAGGCCCGCGGTTGGCCGAGCCATAAGACGGTATCTCCACCGATACTGGGCATCGCAAATATCTGAACAATGTCGCGGATCAATGGAGCTGAAGTAGCAAAGCACAGCAGCAAGAAGGATTGCTGGATAGTACTGGATTCAAAAGCGTATGATGTGACCAACTTCCTGGCGGACCACCCAGGTGGCGCACCGATCATCTTGAAGAATGCCGGGTCGGTGAGTACAATGGCGCGGCTCAAAGATCAAGAGCTGATGTTAGACAGGATGCGACAGAAGAGTTCAAGAAATACCACCCGTTGAGTTATCTGGAGGATTATCTGCCTAAAGATGCCTTCCTCGGTCCCGTCGACCCCAACACGTTTGGTCAGCTACGCCAGATCAAGAGCGAAGAGTCGACGAAGCCGTCCGAAACCGATCCAAACTCCAAGGAAATCCCACATGTGAGCCTTTGCGTCTCCACGACCGACTTTGAGGCAGCGGCAAAGGCTGTCATGCCTCACAAGTCGTATGTCTATGCGTCCGGTTCTGCAAACACTGGCGCGTCGATCAGAGGCAACATAGATGACTGGGGGCGCATCAACTTCCGTCCGCGTGTGATGCGCAACGTCGGCGATGTAGACACGCGCCGCAAGATCTTCGGACACAGCTCGCCATACCCATTCTACATCTCGCCTATGGGAACAATGGGCGCCATCCACGAAGCTGCCGAGCCAGAGATGATCCGAGGCGCAGTGCGCAAGGGCATTCACAAGGTCGTCAGTACTGCAAGTTCGAAGAGCAGCGAGCAGATCATGCAGAGCTACAAAGATGAGCAGCAGAGGCTTGGTAACAACAGCACAACGCAATTGTTTTACCAATACTACATGCCTGTCGATCGCAATAAGGCCATCGAACTTATGCGCATCGTCAAGCGCTGCGGTTATAATGGCCTCTGGATAACAGTCGACACGCCCGTTCTTGGAAAGCGAACAGCGGATCGCTATCTCCAGGCTGAGGAGGCGCTAGCAGTCGGGCTCGCAGAAGAAAGTACAGCGGAATGGGAGACCGGCGGCGACAACGCTTTCGCACCCGCGATGGGGGGACGGCCAGTTCAGGGCCAACTTAGCCCACATACGACCTGGGAGGATCTCGAGTGGATTCGCAAGGAGTGGGAAGGGCCGATCGTGCTGAAGGGCGTGCAATGTGCGGATGATGCGAAGCTTGCGATGGAGTATGGCTGTGATGGGATTCTTTTATCCAACCATGGTGGCAGACAGCTACACACCGCGCCGAGTGCGCTGATGACGCTGCTGGAGATTCGAGCGTACTGCCCGGAAGTCTTGGGAAAACTAGAGGTCTTTCTCGATGGCGGTCTGAGAGACGGAAACGATGTGCTAAAAGCATTGTGTCTGGGTGCCACAGCCGTAGGCGTAGGAAGACCTTTTCTATACGCGCTTGGAGCGTATGGGTCGAAAGGCGTCGAGAGATGTGTTGACAGTAAGTTTGCTCGTGTTTTAACCAGGGTAGTATACTAACGTGCGGCAGTTCTTGCGGATGAGCTGCAGACGGGTATGCGTTTGTTGGGCATAACATCACTGGATCAGTGCAGGCCTGAGATGGTTAATGCGACGCGTCTGCTAAACGAAATGTGGCGGCCAGAGCAGCTGAGTCTGAAGAGCAAGCTGTAAAGGTAGGGTGTGTTGGTTACGTGGGTCATTCATTGTTCCAAGTTTCAAGTTTTGCGAGCGAATGAAATGGAATTTGGATTGAACACAGCGTGCATTACCATTCCAACCAATTCAATGACTACACTTGCATGATTATGAATCGTAGTCTGCCTTTCAGTGTTGTTACCGATGTCGCCGGCCCCGCCGCCCGCTGATGCAAAGTTTTCTTACCCCTCACACCCCACCCCACCATGTTGATCAATTGGGTTATACAATAACAATTTCGCGATTGTTCCATCAATTCCTAGAGAAGGACAGATGGCCGAGCTGGTTATGGCGCCAGGTTAAGGTTACTCTTAACATATATTCCTGGTCACGAAAGGTTAGTTATGTCCTGATAGCGCACGCAATTTAAATCCTAACATCTAATAGTGGCGTGGGTTCGAGTCCCACTCTGTTCAGCATTCGTCTGGCATTGTCAGATACTCCAGGATACACTTTTTTTTGGTGTTTTGGGCGCCCATGAGCGTTGGTCACTAAGCCCATGCTCTGACACCCTCCCACCCACTCTCTTCCTATCTAGATAGAAGGAGGCTTTGCTTTTTGTACTCTGGTATTGATCTAGATGCTATTGAGACTTTGTTTGTAATTTTATATAGTGCATATATACGTTGCGCTGTCATAAAGCTTGCGCAGTCACTTCGCGTCTTATCACGTTGGGACGAACTCGAATCAGCACGCAAGTCGTTGCATAGAAGGCTTCTTGAAGACATCATAGCTTATAGAGTTGAACAAGCTATTGTATTGTAATTCAAATGTTGGTATATCTCACTTTTTCGCAACAGCGACAAGCGCGACACAGGGAAAACCCTCCACCTCAACCACACCCGCACCTTTCTGCCCATTCAAAGGCCTCTGGATCTTTACCGCTGCCTTCTTTCCAGCAAGGTTTAACTGCTTCGCGAACTCCTCGTTCTCTTCATCGGTCCACTTTGGTCCCATGGTCTTCCACATACCGAGCATGTAGCCGCAAGTCTCCTCCGCAGTCTTCGATGCATAATATACTGTCTTCTCGTGCATCTCAACATCTTTGAACCCTGCGCCTTCCATGATCTTCTTCATATGCGAAGCTTCGAACCACTCATCCGCGACAGGCCAGCGGAATAGGGGGTCGTCTGGCTTGACGGCTTTCTGCGCTTTATGAACAACAGCCATATGGCCTGTAGACTTCCAGGTAGTGACAACAGCCGTCCCTCCTGGCTTGAGAGTGCGATAAATCTCAGCCGCACCCTTTTCTCCGTCAGAGAAGAACATGATGCCCATGTTGGTGAGGGAGTGCGTAAACGTCTCGTCGGGGAATGTCAAATTGACTCCGTCCATCACGTCGAAGGATGAATTTGCCACGGAAGTTGTAGCTGGAAGGGCGCGGCGTGCTAGATCGACCATCGGTTTCGCATTATCAACACAGGCTGCCTTGAGTGGAGTGTCTGGGTATCTGTACAAAAGCTCTTGCGCAGCTATACCGTTTCCGCATGCATTGTCCAGAACAACGGAGTTGGAGTCGACTGCGGGCAACATGTCGACGAGGTGCATGGCAACTTCGCGGGTGCAGCCACCGGTTGCAGCCTCATAGGTCGAAGCAAGCATCTCGAACATCTCGCTTGAGTTCATGCTGGGCTCGCTCATGATGATGATGGGATCTTCGCTATTGTATTTTGAACGATACTATGCGTTAGATACCAGGTCAGCAAGGTACTTATATATGGCTGACTGCGGACGAAAAGAGTAAGAACGAAGGATTGTGGCTGGGGCGGGGGTAGACGAGAACGCGCGAAACAAGAAGTACGCCTGAAATCCTCCATGTTTCTTGTTGGACCGATTTGATGCAGCATCTTTAGTCGAAGTTCGTTAAGAAGTATCTGGGTTTCATTTGGCTGAGGGCTCGGACCTCGGAGACATTCACATGCACCCTGTGGCCTAAACAAAGTCGCCGACTGCAGCTTGAGTCGTTGCGCAATCCTTGGGAAAAATAAGCTAGAGACGGGTTCAGTACGCCCCGTCGTTGTTCTAGCTGTATGGAGAAGATACAAGGTTGGGGATGACTGCGTTTAACGCTAAACATGCTTACCCATCCATTCACAGTAAATGCCCGCATCTGCTTCGATATTCTACCTCTAATAGTGCGCAGCCCCTTCTCAAACAAGAAAATAACATCTGCGCTATTCGCTCTTCGAAGTGATAAAGTTTCTGAAGTCTGTACTGATATTCCTCGGATGATTCGGACGACACCAAGATTCTCCGGGCGTATGCTTATACACCATCTCAGATTTTTGCATCCTCTTTAAACCTAATCAATCCATCCTGGAAGGTCGTCGCAATATGTACGCCACTCTCATAGTCCCACATACGGCTATTATGTAGCGCTCTACCTCCCGTAGCTCGAGTAAGCCACGCTTCTTGCACAAACCATTTTCGTCCGTCCTTATCACCGCCCTTGTGTCCCTCCAGGTTACAGAGTGGCAGCGGACCATCTTCCCACAATGTCGCGTCGGCGTTCGGGTGGTCGATCCGCGGTTCACTAGGCATGATGAGGTCCTTGATACCGACATGGAAGATGACGCTGTGAGATAGTGACGCCATGCGTTTGTAACCCCGAGGCCGGTCGAGATGGTTTGGCACAATGAATAGCGAGTTACGATCTGATGCGTACAAGTGTGCACAGGCGTGCATATTGGCATCTCGTGTCAATGTGAGCTTCTGCTCGGATTCCGAGGGAGGCGGATATGGTGCGGTTGGTAGTGGAAGTGCACCGCGTAGCGTGTAGAAGGTCAGTTGCTTGCGATCGAGTGGATGCCGACTCTGATTGTACTTCGACATGTCAGCCTTGCGGATGTGCAAGCCGGCGATGGGGTTAAAGTGGTCGGGATGAGCTGGAAGGTACGTCTCCCGAAAGTGCTCAGAATCATTGCTTGGGGCAGCCGCATGCTCCATCGGATCGTCCTCTTTCCCTTCTAGTGCGTCGCGATACACCTCTTTCAGGTCAACAGACTCTTGCATGTCGAATGGTGAGCTTTCTTCGCGTTTGAAGGAGCAGGTACAGGTGAACATATCTCCGTCGGCTGCAACCTGGCTTACGGTCACATTCCGTGTGCAATAATTGTAACCGTCTCGAATCTTTCGGACGCGATAGGTGTAGTGTTCATTGGGCTTTCCACCTAGTACGAACCACCCGGTAATGTTCTAGCATTTTGTTAAGTTGTAGTTGGAGCAGAACGTGTCGCTACAGCTTACATGTATGAGAAATCCTTCTGCGACAGTCTGTGCAGCAGCCCATGCGGCTTGCGCAAACACGTGGCCGCCGTACGTCCCATTTTCACCACCAGTCGGGGAGTAGGCTTTGACGATGGAGCGGAATGTCCAGTTGTCAATGCGTTCGAGTGCGATCACCCTTTCGAATGGCAGCACCTGCTTGTCAGGTGTAAAGTAGGGACGCACGACCATGGCAGCGACTACGATGTCTGAAATGATGTAGAAATACGCTGATGCTTGATAGAGGCCATCATCATATTGGGCAGATGTTGCGATGTGCAGCTGGTACACAGATGTGGCTGGCGCTAATGAGTTACCTCGGAACGGGCGGGGTTCGGATGAATGACGGCGCAAGCTATCAACCTCCACTAGTGCAATCAAGCCACACGCGCTTCGCGTGAGACGCGATGGAACCTGCTCCTCATGTGGTGCTATAACGAGCATGCGTGGCAAGAATATGTACATGTTATATCGCCCCCACCTCATCTTCCAGCCCTCTTCTTTAGCACCCATAGCCGGCTGAAGTAAAATACAAGACCGCAAAGCCATATTCCTACAAGGATCGCTGCCTGAATCGGTGCAAATACAGCGCCTCTGACTACGACGAAACCACTGATTATGGCGAACAGTATAGGGATGAGGATGAACGGCTTCACGGGTCGCGGTAGATCGGGCTCACGGAATCGCAAAATGATGGCACCAAGAACCGTGAGGAAGAAGAAAGCATACTCAGCAAGGCCATTGAGAGTAAGCAAGATGCGCATGTTTCCGAGCAGAATGTATACCGCTGAGAGAACGGTGTTGAGTATGAGAGCATTGCTAGCAGTTGTTAGCAGGAGATGATCGGACGTGACGGCCTACATACATTGGTGACTCTCCATCATCCATAGCCGTGTCAGCTGCCTCGCTCGAATCAGCGCGTTTAGTCACCTTCAGAGTACCGACGCGACCGACTGTGCCCAGAATTTGCGGGAACCAATTGTTGTTAGATGCTGCGACGGTCATCCTACCAGCCACGAAGGAGTTTCCTAGGGCGGAGCCTGCAATGACGAGACATATGAGCGCGGTAGCGAAGTAAGCTACTCCCTTGCCGAGGAAGTGGGTAACAGCCGTCTAAGACATATCAGTATAAAGGTGTTATACATGACTCTGAAGGACTTACCACAGCAGCAGCATCTGTTGTCGACACTACCTTCCAAGGGAGAAGAACGTAGTAGACAGCGTTGGCGGCGACATAGCATAGTATGATTGTGGGTATAGCGGTATTGATGGAAAGTGGTAGTTGGCGACTGGGTTGACGTAATTCTGCCGCGACGTAATTCGCCTTGTCCCAGCCGGAATACGCCCACAAAGCTCCGTACAACGCTGTACTGTAAAAGCCGAGTGACTCCCACGTAGTCACTTTCGTCCAATCGAATTTCGACCCATCGGGCAGTATCGTGTCTCTTGGAGAGAACCAATTGTTTTGATGCCAATCGCGACCTCCAAGGTCCTTACTCTTTCCGACAAAGACAAAGACGACCACTAAACCAGATACGATAAGGAGAAAAATGGTAAGCAGCTTTATGGCGACGAAGAAACTAGACAGCCGAGTACTTGTCTTGGTGCTAATGGAGTTCAACGTCGTTACAAATACTAAGACAAGTAGAGACAATAGCTTGTGGGTGAGAGGCGGATCTGGTTCGTTCACGCCCAAACTGGAGTAAATGGACTCCACAAATACTATGCTGAGAATAGCAAGGGTAGCAGGCATGGTTGCCACCACCCAAGACCAAGCAGCCATGTATCCAAAGACGTCGCCATAGATGTAGGTGAGATAAGGCTGGATTCCGCCTTCTCCAGGGAATGCGGTACCTAGTTCAGCCATTGTCAAAGCACCTGTCCATGCTAAAACTCCACCGACTAGCCATACGAGGAGTCCAGCACCCGGTGACGGAACGTTCGCATCGATAGGCCCAGGCGACGAAAATACTCCCGAGCCGATGACGATGCTTATCAGCAGCGCGAACCCATCCAGCGCACCAAGATTGCGAGCAAAGGTGTTTCGCGTCGCCGTAACGTCATCGTGTTCTTCGTCCGGGGCATACGATGTCGTGGATTCTTGGCGGAGTAGAGGCGCAGTCTCTGAGGGTGTCATTGTCGCGTTCTCGAGTTTCAGAGGTTTGATGAGCCAATCGTCGCTTTTGCCGAGGTTGTCACGCGTCAACGTGATGTGTGTAGGACGCGTCCGGTCCTTCTTGGGCTGCAGGAGTCGCAATTCTTTATTGTCTGGTGCTGTCTGAGCTAGAGCAACTAACACCCAAGGCTGTGGTTGTGTGAAAGCAAAAGGTGGCTGGCTAAGCCGCGCGGCACTATCGCGTCAGGATGAACCGAACTTACGTCATCCCCTTTCCCTACCAACCGCCGCGGCATCGAAATCTGTGACTTCACATTGCGGTCTTTGCAGGATCAGAATCCCACAGTTTTTCAGAGGCTCCACTTCATCCGTTCTTCTCTGTATCGTTATGCATAACGTCATACGGCATATTCACGGCCTGGCAGCTTTCGTTTTCCCGATTCTGGAGCTCGAGACTCTGCAGCCAAGGTTCTCGCCCAGGCCCGTATTACGCGTGTTGAGTGCATCTGAAAACCAATTATTGCGTGGATTGAAAAGCCAAGCAAGTATGTACACTTTGTAAGCATATTTGTAGGTGTAGCTCGATGTGAGCCCTTCTCGATATGTATAGCGCCGGCGGCATCAGCGAAGGAGCTCAGAGTCTTGACAAGACTAACGACCTGGTCTGTTTTCACTACAGGCCATGGTTCACCGTTAATGTGTATTGCCTTCTCTTTCGCAGAGCATAATTCATAACAGACAACATTGACGGCAGAACCAGATGAAGGAGTCCGATGTGTGTCTGTGCGCGCCAACCTAGGGAAAAACTGAACAGCCTGGAGCCTACGTTGACGTTAAGTCACCTACTTTGCAAGGTTATAGGTCAATGTAGTCTACAGACATGTTCAGTTTTTTGTATAAGGTGTGCGACCATGTCTGAGGGTAGAAGCCCAGCTCATGAGCGACGATGAATGTCCCATGCATCGCGACGATACCGGCCTGCTTCCGTAGTGGCACAGGCAGCGACGAGACGACAGTCATGGTTAGCACATGGCGCACTTGTGACATTTACAGAAACCTGTTCCCGCTCACGCTCACATGGGAAATCGTGGGGAGGTTAAGCTTAAATTCATAGTGCGATGACAGACCAATGACGCTGGGTGGGTTCGTCGGCTTTGTCGGCCCTTGCAGGCTTAGCGGGCTGTATAGGGCTTAGCGCTGCGCATCATCATGGCGACGTCATTCTTGGTGAGCATGCAGTTTGCTTGCAGCTGCTTAAAGCTCTGGATCCCTTGTCGAACTTTCCTCTATCACACACTGCTTTCTTGCAAGATACCCCAGGCCTTATCAATTGCATTCAGGTCTCTTTCTCAAATTCATTGACTACTCAATCACCTTCATACCCAACCATGTTCTCGAGACAAGCAACTCAGAATGCGCGCTTTGCAGCACGGTGTGCTCGCCGCCCAGCTGCGCGGGTAGCCAACCCTCAGTTCCGCGCCCAGAAGCCCCGCTTCCAGTCCACCGAGTCAGCAACCTCCGGCAACGCGGGCGCCGGCTCACATGCCGCCATCGGTGCCGCTTCTGGTGCCCTTGCTGCAGTCACCGTCGGCTACATCTTCTACAGGCAATCAGGCGCCCGTGACGTTGTGGTGGCTTCCAAGACTGCCAAAGGCTACGTCAGCTCAGCTACACAGAAGATCAAGGAGCAGACACCTGAACCCAACGAGGCGCTGCAATGGCTACGCAATGCCGCGCAGAGCTACGCAGCCTTCATCCCCGGCGCCAAGGGCTACGTTGATTCTGCATTCGATGACCTTGATGCCATTCGCGCAAAGCACGGCAAGGAGGTCGACCAAATCGTCACCGAAGCATACGATGAAATGCGCCAGGTCCTCGGCAATGGCGACATGAGCCTTGTTACCGCTCACAAGACTTGGGACGTCATTACCAAGCACATGAGCCGCATCGCAGATCTCGCTGGCGACGCGTCGCAGCAGATCATGGACAACCACCCTCAACTCAAGGAGAAGGTCGGCGGTAACATCGACAAGCTCAAGGAGTACGGCGACAAGTATGGTCCTGAGGCCAAGAAGGAGGTCGATAGAACATGGAAGCAGATCAGCGACGTGGTCAAGACCGGCGTGAGCGCATCCAACATCGAAAAGATCCGCAGCATCGTACAAGAAAAGGTTGACAAGCTTAAGAAGATGGGTGACGAGGCCTGGGACAAGGGTATGGAGCAGGCTAAGCCCTACCTTGACAAGAACCCTCAGGTCAAGAAGATTGTGGAGGAGAACGCAGATGCGCTCAAGGGCGGAAACGTACAAGAGCTGTACGAGCGCGTCAAGTCTGCTGTCGAGAAAGGCGACACAGGTGACCTCGAGTCATACGTCAAGAGCGCTGCCAACAAGGCTAAGGATGCTGGTTTCGGTGACTACGAACAATACCTCAAGCAGATCCCTGGAGGCGACCAGATCATGCCCAAGTTGAGCCAGCTCCAGGATGTTGCCCAGAAGCACGGCGATGAGGCTCAGAAGCTCTTCCGAGACACCGTCTCAGAGATCTCCAGCATCCTCCAGAAGAAGGGAGATGAAGCGTCAAAGTTGGCCGAGAAGGCGAAGGAGGACTCTAAGAAATAAGGTTGTCAGAAGTTTTCTCACCTGAAACTCTGAAGAGTGTTACGATTAGTCTACTTGTATAATAAGGCATCACTGGCGTTGAGCATGTTGAGCGAAAAGTATAACGAATTCTACATAATTACGTTTGATCCTGTACAGTTTGTCTCATTCCATGTCGTGGTGATCTCACCTTGGGCTAACTACTCGAACCATGCTAGATCATCCGCACATGTGCCATAAAGCAGCGAGTGATGTTAACACGATCTTCTGGTCCTGATGAGTAACAATCTGGTCAAGGGTCTTGTGTAGAAGTTCGGCGAGCAGGTTTCATTAGAGAAAAGTGCATATCGTATTTCATCATCGTAGTATGACGCGGTCGACAGATGATTTCACAAGTGAGTTCCTCTGACGACACGAGTTGTCTTGCGCAGCTCCATAGACACCACGTGAGACGTGGCATGCGTACCAGGAACCCGGTACGTACAATCGCCAGGCCCGCGCAAGAACTCACACCAGAACTTGCATCAAGCCCTGGAGTGATAGCATCTTGTTCAGATCGTCATCATATGCGCCACTCGATCACACCCAAGTGGTGAGGCTGCAGTAAGACATGGGCGGGGATGCAAGCCCATCACTGCCTATATGCAGGAACTAGTTACTATGCACACCGCACACCGTCTTGGGCTCTGGAATCCTCTATGCGGGGTGAGGTGGTCAGCGCGATGGTAGGTTGCACAAGACGTGGGCTTGCGGCAACATGTCATTCAATGCAGTAGCTCGCAACCTAAAGTAAATCTTAGGCGGTGAGACGGGCGCGTAGAAAGTACAGTACTCATGGTAAAAGACATGACAGAACACAAGGCGGAATGCGCATTGTTAGGTTGCCGACAAGGTTGTTGCCAAACGACCCCGCGATCCGCTAAGGAAGTAAAGTGGGTCCGAGGTGAAAGAAAGTGGTGAGAGAAGCTGCGACCGCGACGTTCGTCCGCCCAATAGACCGGGCACGCTCCACTCGGTCAGCCAATGACGTAAACGCGCCTCCGCTGCTGCACCGCCCTCCCCTGACACCTGGCAGGCGCTACTACTCTATTTACTCCTCTCTCTCTCAACAAAACCCCCATCTTCTACAACTTCTCACTCCAATTCTCCACTTCTCTCTACCAAACCCCTTTCTTGCACGTCGATCGACACCACTACTACTCCTATCCACCCAACTACTACACACTACACAACCGCAACCATGGGCAAGGTACGCGTTCCTGTGCTAACATGTACCCCGCCAGTACCCCGCTAACACGTGCATAGGCGAAGTACATCATGCTCGACTGCGACAACACGCTCGTCCAGTCTGAGCGTTTCGCGTTCGAGGCCTGCGCCGACCTCACCAACCAGGTCCTCGAGAAGCACAACATCTCCGACCGCTACACAGCCGAGTCATTGCTCGAGGACTTTGTCGGCCACAACTTCCGCGGCATGCTCAATGGCCTGCAGAAGAAGCACAACTTCAAGATGGACGACGCCGAGATGGACGACTTTGTCGCGCAAGAACTCGGAGCCGTAACCCTCAAACTCAGCCAGAAGGCCGTCGAGTGCCCCGGCGTGACTGAGCAGCTCAACAAGCTCAAGGAGCAGGGCTACCCCATGTCCGTCGTCTCTACTTCCGCCAAGAGCCGTGTCGTCGCCTCCATCGAGAAGGCCGGCATCGCACACTTCTTCCCTCCCGAGCACGTCTACTCCGCCGCCACCTCACTCGACCCCCCTTCATCCAAGCCCGACCCCAAGATCTACCTATACGCTGCTGAGCAGCTCGGTGTCAAGCCCTCCGAGGCTGTCACCGTCGAGGACAGCAAGAGCGGTGCCACTGCTGCCATGCGCGCTGGTATTCCTTGCATCGGCTACGTTGGCATCTACGGCATCGAGGAGGGCAAGGAGAAGATGGAGCAGATGGCCAAGCTCCTCACCGAGGAGACCAAGTGCGCGGCCATCATGTACGACTGGAAGGAGTTCCCAGAGTGCCTGAAGAAGGTCGAGGCCAAGTTGTGAGTGCTTGATCCGACACTGGGGAGCCGAGGAAGAGGAACATTTCACCCTGTCTCCCCGCCATTGCGGGTGAGCTTACGATCAGATTCACGACATCAATGACTACATAGATTCAGTAATGAAGATTTAGTGGACACAGTCCCATTCAAAACAGCTACCTGCTACCTGCCGCTTCCTCTGCCGTGTTGATTGTTTTGTTTGGTGACGCAATAGTGGGCCCCGCGCCGTTCAGTGGGCAGGCGTTCCAGGCTCGGGTGACGGCCCAACGCTGCCCCGCTCCTCCCCACTTGAGACCCATCGTGAACTGCAAACTCCATCGCGAAATATCCCGAACATCGAACATTTGCCTTTGCCATCCCAGATCTCTAGCGCTGCATTCGC